TGATATTTTTATACTCATCCTGACTCATGACGAGAAGCCCTCCCAACCTCCCTGCTGAAGACACTTTGGATTTCACAGCAGATCCAAGTGCATGGGCAGAAAATCAGGAGAGAGTGACAAGTAAGGCTGGTCACATGACTGTTTGCTCGGGAAAAGGCCAAAAGGGAGGTAACTCGTGGGTGAGTGTATTTTTACGTCTGCTTCGGGAACTTAAAGGGATTTAAGCGTTCCACAACCATTCGAAAAGGAAAGGGAGATAAGCAAAAGATCATGAGTCAGGATAAGTATAAAAATATCAATTTTACTTGAAAAATTACATTAATTTACCAGATTGGCAATTTAATCGTCATTTGTCTCACGTTTATAAACGTGCGATGTATCGGGGGAGGAAATCATCTCAAGTCACTGGTGATAAACCTGGAGATGTTGTCAGCTACTGCTGTAATTCATAACGCAGGTGATTTGCCGAGTACATTACAGGGGCAGTCGTTTTCGGCTCAGGGGATGTCGTCTGTGGCTCAGGGGCTCAGCTGGGTCCAAGAAGAGATCTGCTTCTACTGAGTTAACGCCAGCAGGGGATAAGAAGAAGACGTCCTCATCGTCTACGACGCAGAAAAAGTCATCTTCATCCAGAACTTCGTCAAAATCAACGCGTTCCAGTAAATCAACGCATCATAGGTCGTTTAATGAAGACATTGTGTGTCCTGATGAAGAAGATGTTTACACTGACCCTCCGATGCTGTTACCTGAAGTACCAGAAAGATCATCGACGCAGTCTACCTCCACAGCGAGACAATCGTCCCCTGCGACTTTTGACAGCAGTTCAGCTATTTGAAGACCAGCCGTCAGCAACTCAGACATCTGTCAAAGTAGACAACAACAGTGTAGCATCATCGCAACTGCAGGTAGTTCTTGACGGCTCAGCATTCTCGAGCACTGCATCTACACCGCATCAGTTCCGGCCTACGACTCAGAACTTCGACCCAGGTGAATTTATGAGTCAGTTTACAAAGCAGATGATGGAGCAGAGGTTCGCCGAAGAAAGAGCTTCACGGCAGAACCCTACTATGTCAGACAAAGTTCGGCAAACCCCGGCCTTACAGAAACCTGTTCCTCACAAGTCTATGGCCGAAGATAATGTCAGTGATCGTTCAGGTTCCGTGGACCTAATCACATTGGAAGAAGAAGGTTCGGCGAACGTCCCTGAGTCTACTAGAGGTTCAGCGAACATCCCTGAGTCTACAAGACGTCAAGGAATCTACAAGAAGTTCGGCGAACGTCCTTAAACCTACAAGAGGTTCGAAGAACGTCCCTGAGTATACTAAAGGCTCGGCAAACGTCCCTCAGTCCACAAGATGTTCGGTGAACGTCCCGGAGTCTACTAGAGGTTCGGCGAACCCTAAACATGTCAGAACGTCAGATGGAGGAAGATCCCCCTCGAGAATCAGTCGTTCTACATCAGTATCCCGCAGCACTCATACTTACAGATCAGCATTGTCACGTTCACACGAACGTTCTCGGAAGGAAGGTTCACGTAACGTAGGTTCAAGGAAGGAAGATGCAGCGAACCCAGAGCTATCAGAGGAAGAGGGCGACTTCGTCTTCTCAGAAGCAGAGGTCACATCATGGATTGCTAACTGTCTGGACTTAGACTCTCCATCCAAGGAATCGGATGCAGCATTCACGTACAAGATGTGGAATGATGACTTCGACACCGATTCCACCAATCGAACCGATCTCCAAGGTGTCTGCTAACCTATGTGCTGCATTTGAGAAAACAACCCGACACCAGAATCAACATCTACCTACATTTAATGCTAAGAGATTCCCTCTGCATCATATGGAACCCTTCCTGAGAGCACCGGACTTGGATGATAATATGAAATTGAGTAGAAGCCGGGCATCAGATGATGTTGATTTAACGTTTTTCTACAGCGTTCTTGGCCAATAGTGAGTTGATGGCTTCTTCTAACTTTACTGCCTTGTCGTCTGCGTAGCTGAAGACTACCAGGTCGAGGGTCAGTGGTGGTCTGGCTTTTAGCTGCACTCTGTAGCCTTCTCGCAGTACTTGTGAGACGTAGTCGTCATCCAAGATTCTCCAATTTTCCCAGTACTTTTGTAGACCTCCACCCACTGTCGATGGTTGCACAGGAACGGCTGGGGGTGGAAGTGTCCAGTCGTTCCGAACCCCATCTTCAATGTCTGTTCTCCTCTGAAGCCCTCTCCCAAAGTTGCCTCTGCTGTTTTCAGGATGAGCAACGAAAAGAGCTCTTCCCCGCCTCTGGAGCTAGAGTATTTCTTCTCCTTTGCTTTCTGAATTCCGGAGAATTGAGACTTGTTGCTGTATCTTTGAGACGTTTGACGAATGACATTGGCCAATGTGTCAATAGATTTGATCATCATGACTTCCCTGGTAACTTCATCAATCTCTCTGCCGAAGATAGTAGGTGCTGCCCAAGGAACTCTTAGTAGTGGCTGGGTAAATCTGTCACTCTAGGAACATGCTGAAAGTAGACCCTGTCTGCGTAGTAGAGTGAGACCCGCTGAGTTGAGGCCAAATGATCCGACATAAAGTGTTGGTCCTTTTTCTGAGTTAATAGTGCAGATAGTATCATTCTATCTTCCTCCCTCTTGGGGTTCTGGAATCTAGATATCAATGTCTCATGGATCGCACTGGATCTCGCCAGGCCCGAAGAATGTTCTTCTGGTCGTGGTGTTGAGTTGAGCAAGTTTCTTTTCTTCCACCTTGTAAGACTTGCTACATAAATCAGCAGGGATCAACGAGATCACCAAGCTTACTCCAGCTCACATTCCAGTTGTTCAACATCATAGATGAATTAAACATCTGGCTAAAGGCATGTCACATTCCAGGAGCCAAGAATGTACTAGCAGACGCTCTATCTCGCCCACTTCATCTGTCACCCACGGAATGGATGCTCCACCCAGAGGCGTTCCGGCTCATCATGAGGGAAATAGGATCTCCCTCCATAGACCTGTTCGCCACAAGGTTCAACAAACAACTACAGACATTCGTCTCACCAGTACCAGATCCCCAAGCCTGGGCAACAGATGCACTGAGCATGTCAATGGGAAGGACTAAACGCATACACGTTTCTGCCTCCGATTCTACTACCGCAAGTATAATTGAAAATCAAGCAGACCCAAGCACTACAACTGACTTTGGTTGTGCCCTACCGACCAGCGAGAGTCTGGTTCCCAGATCTAATACAAGAACTCGGAAGTCCAACCCTGAAACTACCAGAGTGGCCGAACCTACTCATACATCCGCACACCAAACAATTCCACGGAAACCTGCTAGCGTTCCAGCTACACGTATGGACCGTATCAAGACTTGTTTGAAGAAAAGAGGGTACTCCGCCAGAGCAGTGAAAGCAGTAACTTTAGCTCTACGTACATCAACTCGCAACTTTAATGACGACAAGTGGCAGAGATTTGAACAATATGCAGTGCAGAAAGGCTTCACAGCAATGAAAGCAACGCACCCTCAAGTGGCAGAATATCTATGTCACCTTAGATATACGAGGCGACTAAAAGGTTCGACACTATCTACATACCTGGCAGCTATCAGTACAGTCGTCACCATGAAGACGGTCATCAAACTGACAAAAGTGCCAGAGCTACTTGCTCTACTACGATCCTTCAAGCTGGAAGACCAGCAGAAGAAATTCAGAGCACCAGCCTGGGATCTGAAAATAGTTCTACAACATCTCATGAGTGATGCTTAAAAACCACTAGAGCAAACGACCTTCGAGCTACTCACACAGAAGACTCTGTTCCTCCTCGCCTTAGCCACGGCAGCTCGGATGTCTGAAATACATGCGCTGGTGACCGTGCTGCAGTACATCTAGGACTTAGATGGGACTTTATTGCAAAGAATCAGTTACCTGGCCAACAGGACAGACAGTTTCACGTCCCAGCTCTATTTTCGATCCTCGGAGCAGAGGATACCCAGGACTTATCCTTGTGTCCTGTCAGAGCCCCAAAAATATATATCCAAAAGACTAAAACAAGGAGAAGAAAATTCAAGCGCCTATTCATCCCCTTGTCACCAGAGATGTCTACAGAAGTCTCAAGAACGACAATATCATTTTGGATGAGAGACGTTATACTGAGGGCCTATAAAGCAGCAGGACTAGATCCTCCAAGAGCCTCCAATCCACACGAAGTCAGAGCACTGGCGTCCACTCTTGCTCTGTACGGAAACTGCTCGTTACGCAGTAACGGAAGTGCCGCTACGCAGTTCCCATGGGGGGGATGCAGGACGTATCTAAGGACAGCTGATGAATCCACGAAGTGGCTTGACCCACCACAGATTCCGTCGGATTCTGGAAGCATATAAGCATGAGTCAGAATAAGGAAAAATATGTAATATTTAAAGTAAAATTGATATTTTATACTTATCCTGACTCATGAGGACAAGCCCTCCCAACCTCCCCGCTGAAGATACTTCGGGTTTCACAGTAATCCCAGGTGCTAGGGCTTATTCAGGAGAGAGTGACAAGCATGGATGGTCACATGACTGTTTGCGCGGGAAAAGGGAGGCAACTCGTGGGTGAGTGAACTTTTACGTCCGCTTAAGGGAACTACAAGGGATTCACGTGTTCCAGTACCATTCGCATAGAAGAAGGAGCAAAGCATATAAGCATGAGTCAGAATATGTATAAAATATCAATTTTACTTAAAAAATTACATTTTTTTGAGCGGGGTAAATTAATTAATTTACTTTTTCTTATTCTTGACAAAATAAGATTGGTGGATCCGTAAAACAAGAAATAAAATCGATCTGGCCTAATGTACATTTGTGACCAAAAAATGTGTTTTACCAGATACGCTAGACCATTATTGCAGAGGTTTTGACTGGTAGAAAAATAAAAACTAAGTGAAGTGATTCAGCTATATGTTTTTGACCTCAAATCTTGACACTCAATGTATGCATCACATATACTTTAACCTTCTAACCTTTAACTGTTGTTCTTCAGATGACATCAACCAATTTCTCTGATGTTGCTCACTTGCGCACCTTACTGGAGAACCTGTGTAACACATTCCGGGAATTCCGTGCACACGAGCACATCGAGAACAAATATATCATGCATAAACTAAAGGTGAAACTGAGATCCCTATCCATCACCAACAAAGCAGTCTGCAACTGCCATTCAGATAACCAGTTGTCAGAAATGCTGAGATTGGTGTATGCAGGCTACACTTGGACCAGCAAGACAGCTAGTGAAAGGCTCAACTATGGCTTGCAACTGCGGAAGGCCCTGGAAGATTTCACAAAACAGTTTCTGCCCCATATGGAAGAGGAGGAGGAGGTAAGGAGTTTACTGCCTGAACTCTGTTATATCACCCATGTTATATCACCCATGTGGTCTACAGCAGTCAAAGTAAAGCATGGAAGTCACTTTGGACAAACTCACAAAAACTTTAGTGCTAAAACCTAAGATGCACCAGTGCAAGTTTCACTTTGTGTTCACTAGTGTTGATATGTGTCGATTCCCAAATTGAAATAATTAACCCAAAATCTGTGTTAAAGTAATTTGATTTGAAAGTAACAAACAACAAAGAAATGCGATCTAATTATCTATAATCCAAATTGAACTGAGTCCTCAATGCTACACATAATTTAAACAATCAGACTGTCCACAGCAGCATGTGCTCTTCCAATAGTGTTGTGTCTAAGACATTTAAACCATACTCTGAAAGTGCTGATTGCAGCACTTATGCAAATTTGTTGAAGATTTTCTCATTCCTTTAATATTTAATTATAGTCTCTACTCCATCATTTCCACTTCTTTTTCATGATTTATTTAGAAAATATATTAAATACAAGAGCTACCACAATAGGCATGTTGTCAGATTCATAGCCTGTACCCACATGAAAGTTATGCTCTGAATCAGATCATCCTGAAGAACATAAGCAATAGTTTACAAAGTTGCCATTTGTGTCAAATTGGGTGACACCATGAGAGATCTATCTACACAGAGAGGCGGTGGGGTAGCCTAGTGGTTAAAGCGTTGTCTCGTCACGCCGAAGATCCGGGTTCGAATCCCCACATGGGTACAATGTGTGAAGCCCATTTCTGGTGTCCTCCGCCATGATGTTGCTGGAATATTGCTAAAAGCGGCGTAAAAGCAAACTCAGTCAGTCAGTCTACACAGAGATTCATCAGGTGTAGTTCATATAAGTGCACAATGGTACAAATTGTATAAAGAATGTAATTACCAGTACATGTGTTCTATCATTAAGGTTCTTTTAGTGGAGCATCAAGCAAACTTCAAATTGATTTACTATGTCATTTGGAATGTTTTTGTGTACATATATTTTATAATAACATTAGATCCTGATAAACTTTGAATGCCAAAATGAAATTAATGACTGACTAATAATTCGTGGCTGCAGGTGTTTCAGCCAATGCTTATCAAGTATTTCACATATGAAGAGCTGAAGGAGATCAAAGCCAATGTGATCAAGCAGCATCTGGCACAACACTGGTCCCCCGACAGTCACAAGGAGAAGTGTGTGGAGGACGCCCTGTCTAGTAAGTGCCTCCATATGCCTGGCTGGTCTGTCTTCTACTCATATCTTGATTCCTTACTTGCAGCAAGGTCTTGGCAAATATCTTGTGACACAATTATATCACTATGATGAAAAGAGCATAGTAGGAAAGTCAAATTTAGGTCCCTTTTCAACTGTAAATTTATATGTGAAACAGTGAGTCAGGATAAGTATTAAATATCAATTTTATTCAGAAAATTACATAATGATTGTTAATTTTCAAATGAGGTACTTCTTTAAACCATCTGGACATAAAATATTTGCACAATATCTTCTCTTTGTTGACTTTTCTGTAACAGCTTGGATTTCATTTTGTCAGCTTTTCTGAGGCTCAAATAGTTAAGTTTCTGTTATGAATAAAAGTTGAGTTGACTGGTTCTTAAAACTGTGACTGTGTTGCAAGTATTTACCAGTCATGTTATGAAGATTATCACACACAATCCTGACCCTGTATGACCTTCATGCAATCCAGGGCGATTAGCAGAGTGTTGAAAGCATTTGCTTGTCACCCTGCAGATGCAAATCAACAAAAGTAGAACAAAATGAGAAGCAAAGGTTCCTTCCCCTGTCATAATCTTGGCTCGGACAATTTGTTATGAATTTATCAGTGATTATTTTTGCAATGAAGGTGAGTCATCTGATGAAGAGACAGATGCATGTGCACCAGTGGCCAGTTGTCAGAGTCTTCCTGATGAGATCCTACTATGTGTAATGTCTCTCCTGTCTCCACAAGACCTGGCCAGATGTGCCCAGGTGTGTCAACGCTGGAACAAGATGGCCCTGGATTCCTCACTCTGGTCTCACCTGTACCCCATGCAGTGGGCTCAAGGTTAGTAACACACGTCTTGCTGACCATGGTTCTGTTAGGACATGAAATGGAATGTGTCTCCTGCACCCCAGTGGTATTTGCAGATTATGGCAAAATTAAACCATGGGCATAAATTTTGTCATTCTTTTGAGAATATGATAATAATATGATCTAGTTTTTCAGATACTATTTCACAAAATGAGGTGATACATTACACAAATGCTTATTGAGAGAAATCTCTGAGATCCTACTGTCCCCTCATCAAACAGATCTCAATACTATGGTTACACATTCCATTTACAGCCAAATGTTAGTCATTTGATGGCTAAATATATCGGCTGCACTTTGAATATTACCTGGTGAGCCTCAGAGCTCATACATTTATACATGAATACTATCACAAGATTGTCATCCCTAGAAGGGATGCTTTCAGTGTGTATCATGTGCAGCAGTTGCTTTTTGTTATATATATATTATTGAATTCCATATCTCTATCTGACCTGACTGGGGGTGCTGGGGTAGCCTAGTGGTTAAAGCATTCGTTCATCACGCTGAAGATTGGATTCCACACATGGGGACAATGTGTGAAGCCCATTTCTGGTGCCCGCCTCCAAGCAGCATCTACCTGGCCTGACCTCTTCATGAAGCCCTGGGCTGCACCAACACTATTTGACGGCTGCATCCGGCAGATGTCCAGAGACGTAGCCCAGGACTCTAATGACAAGATGCTGATCAAGTCCATACAGACAATGAACAACATGCACAGGCAGACTACTCAACGTAACCAGTTCTGGTGTAAGTTTGTGGGGATGCAGAAGGCCAAGGACAAGAGGTATCCGTCAACCCGAGGTGGAAGATCTCTTGGATTTCCTGTGAAACCGTCAACCGTCCAGGCTACTACTGGGAGAATTGGAGACTTCCAGAAGACGACTATGTCTGAGTGCTACGCGAAGGGTACAAAATCTAGCTAATGACGACGCATCCTGTCACTGTCAACCAACAGGTGCACAGATACCCGGAGCTACAACGCGTCAAGTTTACTGAGGCCATTGACTCGTTACTCACAAAGGACACCGTAGAGATCCTGATCAACACAGTCTCATCCCCAGCTTCTACTCTCCAATTTTCCTGGTACCAATTTTCGTTGGTAATGAAGCAATCATCAATTATGAGATTTCAACCAATTCCCAACACTACTGAAAGTAAGATTCACAACAAGGTCAAGGTCCTGTAGGAAGATGAAACGTCATATGTATCATCCTTTTGACAGGGTATGGTTTGCATTTTCTATTGCTTTCGTTCACAAGCTGCATACCTCTTTCATTTTATTTCAGCTTTTCTTCTTAACTGGTTCATAAATGTTTCAATGTTTGAAGAAACTGTTTTGTGCTGCAGGTGAGTGGAGCAGCCTCCCACCCTCATATGTTGGGGAAGAAGGTGAAGTGACTCACTCTCCCAAGAGTTTCATCATTGATGAGGATGCTGATGTGGATGAATCGGAGAGTCTTGAGGATGAGAATGATGAAGATAATGAAAACAAACACTACAAACAGGTTAGTAACGGTCTGTACGATGACTCCAACTTGTCTCTCCTGTATACATACTGATGTTTAGAAAACTTCCTTTGAATCAACAGTTGTGATTATTTATGAAATCTGAACTCATATTCAATGGAAATATTACTTGTGAGTATTTGAATAAATAGCATTACTACAGTTTGTAAATGATGATGATTTGTTGTTGTTGTTGTTCTTGCTACAGGCTTACAAGGAGTGGAAGATGCTGACCGGGCTGACGAATGGTCTGCTGCATCATGTCGGGGACAGCGTCACACACTGTTCACTTGCGTATAGCAAGGGCCTCACCAACAACCTGGTAATGACCTTTGTACAGTCTGTTTGGGTTCAAATGAGAACGATGAATGATTCGATAACTCAAAATAGGGATAAGTGCGCAAACATAAATAAGACACATGGTCCTGAAACCTCTGTACCCAACAGGATCTGAAATCTGACGTTTTTGGATCGATCACGGAAAAAGTTGTTAAAGAAACCATCAAGTAATATTCTGCTATTGTCAGGCTTCACACCAAAGGGTGACAAACAGCTGGTGGAACAGGGCCGGCTGTTTCCTGATATGTGGGGGTCATCTCACCTAGCTGTGCTGAGTTGCACCTGAAGTGCGAGACGGCGGTGTTCCGTATGCCGTTTGTCACCCCTTAGTATGAAGCGTGAAAATAGCACAAAAGTACATGATGGTTGTGGGGTCTGTGATGATGATTTTTATGGAGAAGCATGTACAACTCTGTCATCAGGTCAAATATGTTTGATTACATTTTAGCTCTGCCACCTCTGTTATAGTTGGTTAGCTGAGCCAAAGACTTATGACAGATGTTAGAGACTGCTATACCTCCTGTAAACCGAAGGTCGAAGTCACCAAGGATCTTGAGCTTTTCTACTGTCTTTAACATCTGTGTGACTAGAGGCCAGATGATGAAATATTGTTCACATTTTACAAACAGCTGGAACATGAACATAAAATCTTATTTTTCCTTATCCTGACTCATGCTCTTTTTGCTTGTCTTCTTCTTCTTGCGAACATAGTGGAACACTTGTATCTCCCTAATTGAAGCTCCCTTCAATTTAAAATCACTAATCAATACTCACCAAGAGTTGTCTCTCTTTGCCCCTTTTGGCGGGAAAGGTGGCGCCACCACATCCCACATGCTTCACTCTCTCCTTCTTCACCCAATGAGCAGGATGTGAGAGCGCCTGTGTCTCCCTATGGCACTATATCCTTTGATTATTCTTACTTAGTTACCTCTACAAGTCTCTTATAGAGGTTTAGCTAGTATCCTTCAACAATATGGTTTAAAATATATTCGTATTTACTCGTATTTACTGCTGTTTATTCGCGGGACGCCGTGATTGTTCAGTAGATTACGTTGATGAAAATCTGTACTGTTTGCACCATCTCCAAGAAGCGCCCTGCATCACCAGACATCCCGTCGTCGCAGCCTAAGACTAAGAGGGCATCTACGTCACAACGCAGACTCCGCACCCCCAGGGCAGCGTCTACTACCAAGGGGAAAACAACGCAGTCAGCAAGAACTTTCTCAGCCGAGATTGTTCCCGCCGTAGAACAGGGCCTGTATGATGAGCAGCCGCTCATCATACCTGATGTTCATCGCAAGAAACGACCGGTGTCAGCTAGAGTGACGTCAGCGCAGATCCTCAATCAGCCCGATGTATCAACGCTGAGGACTGACGATCTTCCCATGGATCCCATCGCTACCAACGCAGATAGGGCAGCTACTACAACTTCGCAGACCGTCCCGGGCGACCTGGTTCATCAGATTATGAAGTTGAGAAAAAGCCACCGCAGACGTCACCCCTGAGGGACCCCCCCCGTCAAGGTAGCGGCTGCTACCAAGTCACCACTGAGGGACCAGCCTGCGCGAAGGACGTCACAGTCTACCTCTGCAAAGGACCCAGACGATCAGCGTTCGCGAAGGCCTTCGCTAAGGCCACCTAGATCGTCACCAGCCTCGGACTCTGATGATCAATATTCGCGAAGGCATTCGCGAAGAAGGATCCTCTCATCCCCGGACTCTGCCTCGGACCACCAGCCTTCGCGAAGGTCAAGTTGTCACTCCCCAGGACCGGACTCAGATGAAGCTTCGCGAAGGACTCCAGTTACAGACTCCATGTCATCTTCGTCTAGAAGGTCATCGAGGGATTCCCCAAAAGCTTCGCAAAGCTATCGTCGTTCACCACAACGTAGATCTCCGCGAAGGTCACCGTACAGACACAGCTTGTCATGCCGTTCTCCACGTCGATCTCCTCGCCATTCTCCACGTCGATCACCTCGCCGTTCACCTTGTCGATCGCCTCACAGGTCTCCACGTAGATCACCACGCAGGACACCTCATAGATCACCACGTCGCTCACCTCATAAGCCTTCGCGAAAGTCTCCAGTCAGGTCTCCTCATACGTCGCCATGCACAGCTGTTCAAGTATACAGAACTCCACCTCAGTCACCATCGGAAGAGTATCATTGGCCTCTTACCAACGCTCCGGATACCGAAGATGATGGAGGCATCATATTCTCCGACGCAGAGATACGCTACTGGATGGCCAACAACCTGGACCTGGCTTCGCCGTCTAAAGACAACAACCCGTCTCACACCTATCTCATGAGGGAGGATGACACAGACATGATCACCCTACCTCCGATTGACCCTATAGCAATGGTTCCTCAGAACTTGGATACAGCTTTCCAAACAGCCACTAAAGCTCAGGCGCCGCACTTACCTCAGTTCAACGCCAAGAAGTTCTTTGCTCATAACATGGACCCATTCTACAAAGCTCAAGAAATCGACGATAACTTTAAAGTCATCAACGATGCCAAGGCCAAGACGTACAAGATCGAGGATCGCAAGCTGGCTCAAGTCGAAACTATGACCAGAAGAATGTTTTTCGGCCTCAACAGAACCAGAACTATTAATGAAACTCTCATCACTAGATTCCGAGATTCTACATCAGAAGACGACAGAATGATATACTCGACCCTCCTTATGCAGAAGAAGGACCAGCAATTCTTGACGGATCACCTTTCATCCATCTCAGCAGCTCTTACTCAGGCTCGTCGTCAAGGTCTCCTCGCCACCTGTAGTTGGGGTGAACAGTTCACAGCCCCATGGTCAACGCCTTCCATCTTGACTGGAGGAATTGATAAAGTCTCTAAAGAAGTCATCAAGGATTCAAGAGAAGTCCTCATGATTAAATCGATTGACACTCTGACTAGCGTCATCAAGCAGACATCACAGAGATATTCCGGAAGATCGAAGTTCACTGGTTTACAGAGAGCATGGGACAGGAAGATGGCCGGATCCAGAGGTGGAAAGGACTCTTTTCGCTGCCCATTCGGCAACTACAGGGGAGGATCTGGAAGAGGCAGGGCGCCCAGAGGTTCCTGCAACTATCGACGTTGAAAGACGGGTTCGGAACGACTAGAGTCTTCCACCCCCAGCCATTCCTGTACAACCTTCACAAGTGGGTGGACGCCTTCAACTGCACTGGGAGAACTGGGGAATACTACAAGATCCATATGTCTCCAACATCCTTCAACACGGATATCGAATCCAACTACAGGCCACGCCTCCACTTACAGTCAACCCTCACAAGTTCGACTTCCAGGCACAACAACTACTAAAGTTACGAGAAGCTGTTTCATCTCTCCTAACCAAGCAGGCCATAGAAATCGTGGATCAAGTAAACATCGAGCCAGGTTTCTACTCCCCAGTTTTCCTAGTGCCCAAGAAAAATTCCAAGGAAAAGTTTCCGACTCATCTACAACATGAGCACGTTCAACAGGGATTATCTACGCAAACCGCCAACGTTTCGCATGATACATCTACCTCAACTACGGCACCTCGTTCGTCCGATGTACTACATGGCCAGTATAGATCTACAGGATGCCTACCTGCATATCCCGATACATCCCAACTCGAGGAAGTACCTACGGTTTACTCTAGACGGGCTACATTACCAATGGAGGGTACTACCTTTTGGAATATCATCGGCCCCCTGGTTGTTCACAAGAGTAACGAAACCCATCGTCACTTACCTACATCGTCAAGGGCTACGCAGTGCGTTCTACCTTGACGACGGCATTCAAGTAGATCAAGATCCAGAGCGTCTCAAAATACAACTGAATTTCACCATCAAGCTACTAACACAGCTAGGATGGTTAGTGAATCTATTCAAGTCGGACCTAGAACCTACGCAAGACCTGCAATTTCTAGGCATTCGATTCCTCACGACACAGAATCGTATCGTCGTACCAGAGGGCCGATGGCTCAAGATCCAACAGACCATTCCACAAGCCTTACTCTCTCCGTTACCACTACGACAGTGGCAGAGTCTGTTGGGTCTCCTCACGTCAGCACAAGACATGACAGCCAGAGGCAGACTACAGTTATGCCCGTTACAGGTCCTCATCAACGCTCATCTCGACGACCTTCAACCATTCGGTCTACCGAAACACCTCAGACCTCATCTACTTTGGTGGACCAGGAGGTCGAATGTTTGCGAAGGCATCTATTTAACAGAGCCGGAGTTCAAAACCCATCTCTATGCAGACGCGTCGCTCCAAGGTTGGGGAGCTTATCTCGCCAACCGGACGGCATCAGGGTTATGGAACCAAGAAGAGAGCAAACTGCACATAAACATGCTAGAAATGAAAGCAGTAATCAACGCCCTACTTCATTGGAGCACCATTCTACAGAATGCGCACCTAATGATCCACACCGACAACTCAACAGTGGCGTTTTATATAAACAAACAAGGTTCAACGAGATCATTGAACCTATTGACTCTATGCTTCCAACTGTTCGATCTGATCGACGATCTAAACATACATGTCAGAGCATGCCACATTCCCGAGAGCCAAGAATGTACTAGCAGATGCACTCTCGGCCATATCTACCGCCTCCGGCGGAATGGAAACTCCACCCAGAAATCTTCGCTCAGATTATCATGGAAATAGGAGCTCCATTAATAGACCTATTCGCCACTCGCTTCAACAATCAGCTAACAACATTCGTCTCACCAGTCCCTGATCCACAAGCGTGGGCAACGGACGCTCTAAGCATATCCTGGGAAGGCCTCAACGTGTATGCGTTTCCGCCGCCAGCTCTAATACCAAGGGTTTTACAGAAAATCAGACAAACTCAGAGCCTCCAACTGATTTTGGTCGCTCTAATGGCCAGCGAAGTGGTTTCCCATTCTAATTCAAGAAATCGGACAACCAATACTACAACTACCAAAGCGCTCGAATCTACTTGTACATCCTCACACAAAACAAGCGCACGA